TTCAAAGTAATCAAAGTTTTTATTTCAGAATTTCTTGTGTATTTAAACACATTGGTGACACTGGTTGTCCACTTTCCTGTTGTTATTCTAGAATTCAGTAGCCTACCAGTCACAATTTCCACCGTGGCGGTGGTCTAAGTAGTTAAGCTTCTCATTCACTATTTGCAAAATTAAATAGAATGTTTAAAATGAAGTATCGGACCATGAAAATTCATCAACTTTATATTTTAAATGAATACTGTATAGATTTTTCCCTAACCCCCCATTTTACAACTTGCATGTTATCTTAAAAACTTGTCCCTTGTCCTTATAGCAGCCTTGCAGTACCTGAAGGGAGCCTACAACAGAAATGAAGAGGGACTTTTTTCAAGGACATGTACTGACAGGACAAGGGGGAATGGCTTTAGGCTGAAAGAGAATAGGCTTACATTAGGTAGTAAGAAGAAATTCTTTACTGTGAGAGAGGTGAGGCACTGGAATGGGTTGCCCAGAGAAGTTGTGGATGCCCCACCCCTGGAATCATTCAAGGCCAGGCTGGATGGGCTTTGAGTGGTCAAAGTTGTCTCTGCCCTTGGCAAGGAGGTTGGAACTAGGTGATCTTCAAGATCCCTTCCAACCCAAACCATTCTGTGACTCTATTAAATAAGAATCCCATTAGCTCCTGATGGACATAATGCCCTGACAGCTATAATAAATGAGATACTTTGATTATTATAGTATTTTCAGTACGTCCTGCTAACGCTAAATTTAGACACTACCACTCATTGTATTATTTGCTCCCTATTAACGTAGCCTGTCCTTTTATTCCTGCCAAACAGCACTCATCTACTTGTTCCAAATGAGAACCTTACATGTCCAAATTAACTACTATTTCTAGATCATCGCTTCAGAAATATTTCACTCTTTCAATATTTCAGTTTTATTGAACATCACTCATTTTGGTAAAGGAATTATGAACAGGTCTTCGTAACACAACAGCAATTTTTCTACTGTAGGTTACCTAAAACTAAAAATGTAGTTCAGTTGCAGAGTGGGTTTGCTTTTTTTTTCCCGTTTTTGAAAGATTGTAGTGACTATGTAGAGCTAATACAAAGTTTGGGCATTTGCTTGTGTTCTTTAATTAATTCACAGAATATTCTGCAGTAATAACAAAATGTGTATGTTCAGATGCTATTAATGAACATCAGTTTAAGAATCTACATAAAAAGCTAGACTAAACTAGTTTTCTTTTGCTTTGTATCCACTTAACAGCAATGGAAAGCACTCAAAGACAGTTGTACTTACTTGACTTTTGCATACCAGTTTCACAGACCCAAAGAATTATGTTTAAGCGAGCTGCCAGACCTGGCTTTGATGCCAGACTCAATACTCTTAGTTTATCACCAGCTGACCCACAGCTGTAATTCTAATACTCACTTTCTTGCTATACACTCATATTTCCTTACAAATAAGATTCCACAGTCACTGCAACATATCCCCCATTTCTAGGGGTTAAAACATGACTGGAAAAGTCTGTAGCCTACAAAACTACTGCTAATATTCACCTGAGTTTCTACCTGTGCTTATGATCTCTATAAGGCATTGGAGTCACTAAATTTTATGGGTATCTGTATCTAAACTTACAATATTCACTGTAGCCTGACACTATCCCAATTGGTTTTCAGCAGAATTTATGCCAGTGGGCACAGTCTGGATCTGATTTGGAGGATGCGATGGAAATAGGGATCGTTAAAAACACCCCATTATCATATGGTCTGGTAGTTGGCTACAGTGCTGTTCTACAATCATGATTTAGTACAGATGTTTCATTTAAACTCGAGGTTTATAAAGGTACACATTTTTTTGGTTTACTCTGATTATAACCACAGTCTACTCCTCCCCGGTAATCAACTGCTAGAATTTGTCAAATGTTGTCATTTAATATGTGGGTCACTTCCAGTGCTGTGTTTGTTGCATGGAATGCTCCACTTCCATAGAAACAGATGTTTTAACTTAACAGCAGAAAGAGCTAAACAAGTGCATGTGAAGGCACAGTGCAAATAATGTGTTTCATTTCTGTTATTTATAGCTGTCTGCAGCTATCATAATTTTTTTATTTGAAAATTATTAAATCAATTACAAGAAGTTTATTTGCAGATACTGCCAAGAATGATGCATGCTAGGCAACTGCTTCTGGGGAAGTGTCTTCTTCTGGGCCATTGCAGAGGCATTTCAGTGAAGTCAATCCATTTCTGAAAGACTACAGTATAACAGGGTCTGTACACTAGGCCTCAGGTTATACATAGGAAAAAAAATACCCTCTTTAGACCTCCCAGCCCTTCTGGCAGATATGTCAGGTGTTAGGGCAGTGGAGCTAGATTGTACTTAACTCCTCAGCATATTTGAAGAGGGCAAGACCAGCTGAAATGATGGTTAGCAGGAAGACTCATGGGAGAGGGCTCTGGCTGGAAAAAGGCTGAGCTGAGAGGATGGGTTTCTTCCTTCTTTCAGTTTTATTTGACTGAAATACATCCCACCCAAACTGGGAATTGTGTTTATATGAAAAACTAGCAATAGTCTTATCTAAAATGCAAGGGGGAAATATTTTTTTGAAACACAGAACTATTTCCACATACCAGAATGAAGAAACAAATCAGCCATCTGTGAAATTCTTTGCTCTTTAAAATCCTACCTGACTAGTTTCAGGTCACTGTAGGAGCCACTGATTTTTATAACAGAAGTGATGTTTGAAAGCGAGCCATACTGCATACTTTCCAAAGCACACAGACAAAATAATTTGTAACAGTGCTGTAATATTCCACATCCAGGGGCAGATCACGTAAAGAGTGAGCTGTGTGCAACCAAGGTAAGTGCTTATAGCTGATACTGTCTAACATCACTTCCCAAACAAATCCCACAATTTTTACACTTGAGCCACAGGCAAGCCTGAAAGTACAGGCCAGATTACTTTAAAAGTTCACTGTGTTCCCTTTCACGCCCACCCAAAATGCCCTGGACGTGTACTCCACCCACCTATCCAGGGGTTTCTGTGCAGTAGGCAGAGCCAGGCCAGATGAGAGAAGTATCTATGTTTGGAAAGCCTCCGCAAATGTGGGACACAAAAGCAGTAAACAAATCAATGGGATACCGACCAAATGTGTTCCACATTTGTGAAAATAACAAAGTTGAGTCAGGAAGAAAGGTTTATGTGTCTTCTCCTCATACAGTCCTTCCCAAGGTACTTTCTTGCAATCCCCCCAAAATTAAATCCAGCCCAGACAGCAGCAATATTTGTGAGTACACAGCACAGATCAAATGCATTACAAAGCCACTGACAGCTCCACGTGGCTTGGCATGAGGCACAGCTCAAATGGCTGAGCAGGTGTTTCCTCCCACAGTCCTCCTCCGTGCACAGGCGCTCTCTGAGTGACACGGATGTGCCACCGCGCGGCACTGCTGGAAGGAACACCTGCCACTTGCAGTGGACCCAAGCTCGGGAGCCAGGCTGGCAACTTCTTCCCACACAACTCTCAAATCTCTGCCTCTGCCATGAATTCCTGCATGGTAAAATCTCTGAAACAGTTCTCTAGTCGTGAGAAAGACCTCGGGACACCTGCCTCCATTTGTACGAGTGACAGAAAGCCTCTCTGAAGGGACTTGTGAAACCACAGGAACGAGCTCACCTCTCCTAAACAGGTTACACAGCATCTGGGAGCTCCACAGTTTGGTGTCCAGTAGCTGTACCACAGCAACAGAAAGCAGGCACACGGGCAGTATGGGACAGAACTGCTCTTCAACATCAAATTTATATTAAACATTAAATGTAAAAAAATTAAATTACTGAAAAGTTTGTTCAAAGCTTCTACTAATTCATTTTTCTATTAAAATCTTGACATTAAAAAAAAAATCACTCAGGGCTATTAATTAAAACTGTGCTTTGGCAGATCTTTAATGAGAGATGGGAATTTTTGAAAGCTGGGATATCTGGAAGGCTTTTTTAAGTCTTTTCAGTGTATTCAAACTAAATGTTTAATGTCCACCCATAGTAAGTGAGCACAGTCCAACCCAAGCCAATAAAGAAAAATACTGTCAGCTGACGGCTTAAAAACTTACACTTTAGACAAAAAGAAATAAGCCATCATGACTGTTTGGCAGCAGATCAATATGAAGATATCTTGCATTAATGCGCTATATATTTAGGGGTGGGGGATTTTATTTATTCAGTGAACTCAGCCCTTTCCTGCAGCAAATTTTCTACAGGGGAAGTGCTATAAATTTGTTTTGAATTAATTTTTGTCTTAAAAGTAAAAAGTCAATTCATGGTACAATTTACATGAATGAGGGTAGCCATTTCATACTTGAAATTTAGAATTTCATTGTCCACCTGAGTCATTTATTATTTTTTTAATCTTTGTTGGATGATGTAACCTTTATAAAGTGGGCAGAAGGACCTCAATAATTTACTGGGACTGTCATTCATTTAGAATCCTGGTTAAAGAAGGAAGATGTATTACACTAGCACTGGATAAGCAGATAAAGGAATACTAGGGTATTACATAGTTTCCTTGCTTTCTTAACTAATAAAATCATTATTATCCTAGATATATTGTCTTCATATTTAATATATGCTCTCTTCCTGAACAAATGAACCAAAGAAACATATTGCAATAAAACTCAACTGATTTAGTAGACCTCAAAATCCAGAATCCTTTTATGCATGAGCTATGCACAGTTTTGCCTGCACATTATAGTCACATTTATCTTTCTTCCTCTGATATGGTTATTTGCTGTAGAGTCTGGAAAAAGGATTTGAGGATCCAACTTGAAATACCAATGAGAAAAAAGTCTTACTCTGTGATGTTAAGTGTGGCCTCTTTCTGCTTTTCTTTCTATTACATCTATTTTCTGTTCACTAGCTAACTAATCTTCGGGACAAACCTAAAATGTAAGGAAAAAGTTATAACAAATCTACAGTTTGCTTTCTGTACCTGGCACCATAGCCACGTGTCTTCTACCAAGTATTTCCACGTTCTTCAACTACTTTATTTGCTGTAAAAATTAATGGAAGAAAGTATTCTCAAGAAATCCTGGCCTTCTCAGGGATTTGTGTGCTGAACATCCAGAGGTTGAAGAGGGCTTCTTGCCATCCTGCCTTCTCCAAGGGATTCCTTTCACCCCTCTGGCATGCATGGCCATGTCTTCAAGGTAAAGGCTCGTAAGCAGGTCTTTGCTCTCTCCCCTTCTTGACTTTTTTATCATTTTACTTACATTTTTATCCTTGTTCTCAATTCCATAAATGTAACAATCTACAATGCAAGCTCCAGTATCTTCTTGATCTGAAAGACAAGACAAAGAGAGAGCTGACAAGAAAAGCAATTTCACAAGGCAAAACTATCCTGTGACAGTAACTTGATAACAACTATTGTCATACAAAACTGAGTTTATCTATCATTCTCATTGTTTCCATTGGTTTGGTTTCTTTTTTTTTATTATTTCAGTTACCACCACTCACCACTGGTATTTTGCAGAAGAGAGCTAGATGCAAGAATAGACATTATCTGCACATATGCTTCTGTCATCTCAGCAAAACCCTCCTCCCACTTTCAGCATGTGCTTGCACTCAAAACGCAGATGAGGAAGCTTATCTCCTTTGGTGAGCACCAGCCTGTGACCCTGGGAGGGGAAGCAGCAAGACATGTATGGGAGGTACCACCAGCAAGAGATACCAGCTAAAACCCGACAAGTGCAGCCTCTGAACTGTCTCTGCTGCTGCTGCTGCACACCTTCCACAGCCCTGCTCCCAAAGCACCACCTGCCAGTACTGACACAAACATTCAAAACTAACACACACCTGATCTATGTATGAGTCAGTTCGATCCTCCTCCACTACTGTTTCTAACACATGTTCACTGACCTGCAAGATTCAATACTCCAAGGCACCTCTGCCACTCCTCTTGAACCTTCTTCAGATGCCCCAATCACATAAAGCTGGAACACGGCTGCAGCCTTTAGGTAGATATGTTTATATGTCATAAACTTAATTTTGTTAAAATCAATGGAGGCTCTAAAAAAAGTAAACAAAAAAATGCAGGATGAACAATAAAATCAGGTAAGTCCTAGACAAGATGTCTTTAAAATCTTGAGTTTTATTTTCTTCAGGTGTTTTACCTTTTCCAAGTAAAGAAAAATACGTTCTGGGAAAACACATTTGTCTCAGCATCCCAGCCCCTTCTAGGGATTTCTTCTAAACCCCAAATCCTCACTCAGCACGCAGCGCTGTCAAATTTGGTAGTGCTAGAGTTGTTTTGATGGGAAGATCAAGCAGTTAAATCACAAGAGGTAGAAGTAAATTAACTTTTTCTAAACTATCTAATGAGACTGAAGAAAAACCTGAGTCTTTGCAATTTCTATTTAGAATTTCAGAAATGAATTTGTCTACTAAAGCTCACACAAAACTAAATACTGTTTTGTCGGCACTGGCATATATGGGAAAAACTCAATTGGACAAAAATCCACAAAACATGTATTTCCAAATCAGTTGCTTGCATGCTAGAAAGCTGTCATTTAGAGGGTTTCAAGATAGTATTTTGTGATGTTCTATTTGGTATTTTATTTTACATTATTTTATTATGCCTCATTAAAAAGGAGTTACTTTCCATTTTCAGAATCCTTAAAGATATCATCATTAAGCTCACATAAAATTTTCACTGAAACATCTTTTATTTCCTTTCTAAGCCAAAAGACCTTGTGTTTGATAATGAAGCAGCTGGACACATGGATATTGCATGTGCATAATACATATTAACATTACTATACCTAAATAAAGCAAAAATAAAAATTTTAGAAAAATTAAAATTAATATAATACAATGCAAGAATTATGTTCATCATTTAAATTAAATTTTACAATACCTTCAATATCTTTTTCATCAAAATAAAATTTAAAGGAAGTATTTCAGTATAATCCAAAGCAACATTTTAATAAAAAAACATTTTGTGAAAAAATTCTCACATATACTCACTTGTATAGGGACTAATCAGGAAATAAGCTTAGCTGTTAGTCCCAGAATCAGGAGGCAGAAACATCCACTTTTCCTTTATTATTTATCTGGAAATATGAATTCCTGTAAATTGACATTATTCACTTTTCCTTCCTGCAAAATTGTATAAAATGATAAAATATATAAAAAAGAAAAATACTGTAACATAAAATAAAATTAATGTTTGTTTTTTCTTTTTTGCTGGGAAACTCCTTTTACCTGTTTGGGGTACAATGACAAAATTCCATTCTGAGATTCCAAAATGCTGGTTTCCACTGCTAGAAAATTAAAGCTCTGACTTGGATGGATCTTTGGATTCCACCACACCGAGGTACCAAGACCTCAGTGCCGATCACTCATCTCCCTGTCTTATCTTACAGAGGTGCAATGAAACATTGATTTCTTCGCGCATTTTAGTTTAGGATACAAGTGTTCAGGTATTAAGCTGATCCTTGATTCATTTCCATGGCTGCAAAGAAACATTTTATCCTTTTAAGGGATGGACTAAATGCTCCTCACCTTACTTATTGATTTCACCACTTTTGATTACATCTGCAATCTTTCAGTCTCCCACAGAGCCTTCCCAGCACAGAACGTCCCAGGAGTCAGCATGTTCTCCTGGCTAGACTTGCAGCTGCAGGACACAAAGCAATTCAAAATCCTTTTGGGGCAAAGCCACCTTGTGACACATCAGCAGCAATAGGTATGAATTTCTCTGGAGTTATAGCACAGGCAATATGTGAAAGGATATTCAGAACTCCATTTTACAGGCAGCTCACACCGTTACAGTAAGCACATACTTCACACAGGCTCTGCTCAGGATTTTCCGTGTAAAGTACTTTTAGCCATATTATCCATGCAAGATGCATCATTGCAGTCCCCCACCAACAAAATCAGAACAGATCAATTGCTTTGTGTCTTCCCCATACATATCATCTCCTCTGTGGTAAATTCTTTCTGGTCACATCCTTCTCCCAGTGCTGACAAGAGGGCCAGGTTGTCCAGCAGCAGAAGGAATTGTCTGGGCTGCAGTCAGTCAAAGACTACAAAACTCCTTCTCGTACTTGGAGTTCAACTGGGAACAAAGCCACATCCAGGAAGGTGTGTGTTTTCCCATCCTGTTTTATCTCTGGTGCACTTGTGTCACTGAGCTTCTGTTTCCTATTTGAAATCAGCTTCCCGAACACACAGTTCCCATCTCATAGGTCTCCTGGTACCATATGCCTAGGATTCTCCTAAGCTCAACAAGCTTTAGATAAGATCAGATTAGGTATGAGTCAGAAGTTCTTCATGCTCACTGCAGAACTGATCTCTACTCTCCATTTTCCCAGGATAAAAAAAAAAAGGTTTAATTTCGCACACTCACAGGACATCTACCCCAGAATCGAACCTTTTGGAGGGTGAGGAGACAGCAGGTCTGCAAGACAGCATCATCCCAGCTCACCTGTCAACAGTACAGTGGAAAGAGAGAGACAGGAAATCTGTTCCTGCTGAGTAAACAGAAACACTACAGTCTCACTTTGCTCATTATGAAAACATCGCCACTATGTTTTCTATCCTTGAAAAAGACAAATCAAAAATGTTATTATTTGTTCTGACAATTACAATGACCTTTAAACCTGAAATTTGGCCTGCTAAGGCATTTTGGATTCACAGTTTTTCTTAATTCCTATACAAAAATGCATTACACGTGTATTTGGAGCAACTGGAAGTACTCTGCTGTGCAGCTGCAGACAAACACAATTTCCAACAAGGTGGTTCCAACATCTGACTCCTGTTTTAACTTGGTTTGGGGGAGTCAGTTCATTGGCTGGTGGCCCCTGTGCAGATCCACGGGTTTTGCTTGCTCTGAAAGTTCAATGCATGCAGTACCCAGTTAAACTCCCTGGCAGGTTCAGAATTCCTTTGGAGAAGTCAGCCAGGAAAGTCATCTTCATGCCAGAGAGGCACTGCCTGCCCTGCACTGCCATTAATAGTCTTTTGTAAAATTCAGTAGCTGTCTCAAGCCTTCAGATGAGAAATATGAGGCTGTGATATAACAAAGTAATTTGATTACACAGAAATCAATCCCCTGCAAGGATTTGATAACCGCAACAAAAGTTCCTACCAAATTTAACAAAATTTCTACTTAAATCATTCTATAAGCTTGTGCTAAAGCACTTTGTTAAATGAAGACTTAAGCAGAGGAAGACAGTGCCTTTGTGCTCTCTTTGGAATAACAATCTGAAATGCTTCAAATTGGGTCTGGAGTCCCTTACATCTTTTATATTGTTTCCTAAATCAGAACAATCATCTGCAGAAGAAGAGAAATGATGGAAATTTCTCAAGTCGGAAACTGTTTCCAAGCTGCATTTTTCTTGAACAAGATTCTAAAGTTGTATATTACAACTAAATTAAATTTAAATGTTTTAGGCTGTGAGGAGTCAAACTATTGCCAGTGTGCTTAGCACACTATTCCTGGAATGCTTGTAGTCTCCAATTTGTTTATTGCTAGTTAACCATATCTATGTGGGGAAAACCCTTGCATATTTATAAGCTCTACCTCTTCCTTAGGATGTCATCATTTTGGTGGAGAAGAAGGTTATTTTAAGAATGGGAGATAATATAAAAGCATGATTTCCTTTCATCAGACTTGTCTCTCTCCCTCACTTTTCTGCTCCTAGCTCCGCATCTAAATCACCACTTTCTTCCACATCTTGGAATAAATGTTTACAAGATGCAATAGCTGGATTTTTCTTGTGGGTGTACAGTCATCCCAAAACCTGGGATTTAATGATTCGCATAGATTTTACGCAGAGGTGGATACATTTCACCAGAAATAAAAGGGAAAAGCAAACCTGGTTAACTATGTATTCCTTTGTACACTCCTGGCTTGTCTCAGTTCAGTAGATGGAAGCACACATATTTAGATTAACACCTGTAATATAGTGTTGGATAAAAAATTTGTAAAATATGCTAACTTTGTAATATTTTCTTTTTTTTTTTACTCAAGCTAAAAAACCCTGTTCTACAACACACTGCTGATGGAAAGGCTGTGTTCTGAGTGAGACGTGTTTCTCGGCGAGCCTTCACATTCCAACAACATTTTTTGGTGGTCTAAACGCAAAACATTAATTTCCTTGTAGAGTCACAGGTTATCACACTCGGGCCCAGCCTTCCAAGCTGCAGTTCAGTGGAGCTTCCCCTCAGTCTTGCCATGAAGAAGGGGATTTGCACGCAAAGACCGAGACACCACGAGATGCTGAAGCATAACAGCTTGCCCTCAGTGGAAAGCAGCTTGCCGTGCTGCTGCAGAGCTGATCACACTTCCTTTTAAGCATGGTGCATAATAATGTTGTTTTTCATGAAATTATGAACTATTAAATCTGCGTGACATATAGATGAGAGAAGAAACGTTCACAGGCCCACTGTAATTTATGAACATGTGGTGCACAGATGTTACATGAGATTTTTCTTCCCTTTACTTTTCAAAATTTGCATTCCATTTTCCCTCCTTCTCTCTAGTGTTCAAACTCTGTATTCAATGCTTTATTAGATGTCTCAGCAGGGTAAATGGATGATTAATAATTGTTGATGACAGCAATTTGGTTTCTATAAGCTGTGGAGTGAAAGATAA